AATTCCCTCTCATCACTCACTGTACACAACAGCAGCAAATCCCAAGGCTATACAAGCATACTCTTCTCCACCAGTGATGAATGAGACATGGCAAAAACACTGTACATGTTTCAACTTAAAAATTCAGAGGCAGCCGGCTTTTTCTTAGAAGGTGGTGGGCCCTTGAGTGGGCAAAGTGCAGCTGCCCAATGTTGAAATCAGTGCTAGTTGTCCTTGTTTGCCAGTCTCTTCTGAGACCCAGGCAAAAAATTTGGTGCTTGTTACCCATGTGTGTATGTGTATGTACATGTGCGTGCATATGTCTGTGTGCACGTGTCCATGTATACATGTGTGTATGTACATGTCTGTGTGTGTGTGTGTGTGTGTGTGTGTGTACTGCTCCACCAGCAGCAGGATGACAACTAACCTTCCTTGGATGTCTTTCAATTTCCACATTGGCTAAAGCTCTCATCCCAAACACACTCTAGATTTTTCCCTCCCACAGATTTTTACAATGTTTCTCTCAAGCATTATTAACTTAATTAAACAGCAGGCTGTCAAGATTGATGACTCTTATCATGGCTCCAACCCAACACATCTTATGTTGATTTTTCCTAAAATATCTCCAGGCTTCAGCATAAACCACTGCATGACTCCAGCTTCAGCTCACACTGCTGAAGTTACTACCAACAAATAATAAAAGACAACTAAAGCAGATATTTGCAGACTTTTTTAGAGGGCCCAAGTGTCCTTTGTTGCACAGATTCTCACAAAAACCCTACATGGGTGGCTAACAGGACAGAAAAGACTGACGCCACATAACAGATAGAAAATCCCAGGCTCAGGGAGATCAAGTTACTTGTCTCACCAGAGTCACCTGGTAAGTGAAGAGCAGTATCCAGTATCAGAATCTGGAGCATCAGGTTTTTCATCAGCACATCTTGCCACCAGCCCTCCCTGCTCCTCATTATTAAGCTGGAGGAAGGCATGGGACTCCAAGAGGCCCAACCTTCCTCATTGGCCTGATTTTTCACCACCAGCCTTGTCCCCAAAGAGCAACTGACATCAACCTCTCTTGGGCCCCCAGTTCATCTCTCTGAGAGTCACTCTTTCTAGAATCATCACAACAAACCCTTCCTTGCCACCAGCTCTGTTTTAGCCAAACCAAAATCATCAGGAATAAGTACTGCCCCCTAATTTCCAACTATTCATAGCTTTCTTCATATTTCATTCTCTTCACGTACACTGTCAATGCAGGTGTATGACTTTGCTATTAATGGTGTTCAACTATGGTCATTTTTACTCACCATTGGAACTAATTGCAAGGACATTTACTGAAGAATCAACCTGAAATTTAGCCACCATAGAGCATTACAAATTATCTATGACAATTACTTCCCTTCCCTTTTCTCTGCAGGAGACTGTGACCTTTGCTATTAGATCTGATGGGAAATGACAATAGGAGCTCACCATTAATTCTCTGATGTTGATTTCAGCATTATTTGTTCTAATCCATTTCAAGATGCCAAACCAAAGTTCCAGAACTGAGAATAGGCTTAATAAAAACGACTGCCTTACTGGTATATATTTTTAACATCTTTTTCACACGTAATTTCCCTATTTTCTTTCATTCTTATTTTATTTCTGAATACTTGTTCTTAATTAAAGAATGTCTAATATTGATAAGTTTCACCTCTCCTTGAAATGGCAGGACTAACTGAATGCTCTATAATGATAATGATCAATCAACAGTTATGTGCTTTTCTGCATTCATTTTTGTAGCAGTTCTACTGTATCAATAGCTGTCTTCATTTACACTTAATAGATTCAAAGCAAATTCAATCTCCATAGTAGCATGTAAGTTTGTAGTGGTTTTAAATAATAATAATTCCATAAATGTATGGATACTATACCCAAGCTTATAGTTTATCCTAAATTAGAGCTATTCACATTTATACTTAATAAATTCGGCCTCGAACAGAGAAGATAGCTTTTCTTAAAATGCTCCCCTTTCTTTGTAGAGCACTTGATGTAACAGACCATTGTGATGTAATAATGTGTTATAAATTCTGCAAAAAATATATGTTTTTACAGAGTAGTCTCTAATAGACATATATACTTCTCAACTGAAACCACCATGATTTAGAACAGGTTGGATGTGTAGTCTGAACTGTGTTTCCTCATGTTAGCCCACACGACCTCCTTTGCAACCCGTGGGCAGCCCAGATCATGTTGCCAGATGAGGGTCCCGGGTGCAGACAGGTCTCAATCTTCATTTTCAAATAGCAGCTCCCAAACTGGAATATTTGCTTCTTCTATCTTCTGGCTTCAATTTTTGGTTGTGTATTCTCAGCCTTACTGAATACATGTCCTTTGTTCTAAATAGCATCAAATTATTTTGGAAAGAGGAGGTCAGTGGACAATGCACAAATAAATGAGTTTCAAAGATTCAGTCATCCATAGCTGGCTCTAAGCAAGACTTTTGCCTCCTGGGCTAACCAGCCCTGGCCTTCCCACCAAAAGACCCCAAGTCTGGCCACTTCTTAACATCTCTTCACCACACTCCTGTGCCCTGGACTATTATAACAGCCTCTTGACTGACCTCCTGTGTTCACCCCACCCCAAACATCAGGCACTATGAGCTTTTTATTATTAGTTATTATTAAAGTAAAATTTACAGCCAGTGAAATGCACAGAGCTTAAGCATATGAGTTATGGTCAATTATCTACCTGTGTAACCATCACATCAATCAAGAACACAGGGCATTCCCTTCCCTCCAGCAGGCATCCCCACGCCCCTCTGCGGCTAGTCCCCACCTCTACAGGCATCCACTGTTCTCTTTTTTTGCTTTTTAAAGATGGAGTCTTGCTTCATAGCTCAGGCTGGAGTGCAGTGGTGTGATCGTAGCTCACTGTAGCCTCAAACTCTTGGCCTCAAGGGATCCTCCTACCTCAGCCTCCTGAGTAGCTGGGATGACAGATGTGCCATCACAGCCAGCAAATTTTCTTTTTTTCTGGAGACGAGGGTCTCACTATGTTGCCCAGGTTGGTCTTAAACTCGTAGTCTCAAGCAATCTTCCTCCCTCAGCCTCTCAACTGCTGGGATTAGAGGTGTGAGCCACTATTACCCCCAGCCTAACACTTCTCTTTGTATCACCATCCACTGTTTTGGCCTGTTCTTGAAATTACACAAGCAGGAAACAGTATGTGCTCTTCAGAGTCTGCCCTTTTCCATGCAAATGAGGCATCTGTGTTAAGCTAAGGATATCCACAGTTCACTGTTTGAATGGTTGCCATCTACGAATAATTTATGATCTGTCTAAATGAAACTCTTTAGTGAACATTTGGGTTGCTTCCAGTTTCAGGCTCTGATAAACAAAGTTGACATAAACATGTATGCACAAATATTTTTGGGAACATGTGTCTGTTTCTCTTTTGTAAATCCTTAGGAATGTAACTGTGGGGTTAAAGTGTAGGTTTAGTTTTGTAGGAAACAGCCAAACGGTTTTTGAAAATGGCCGTACCATTTTACACTCCTCCCAACAGTGAATGAGAGTTTAGTTTCTCCACATTCTACCAGCATTGTCCGTCTTTTCCATTTTTAACTATTCTGGAGGGAGTATAATGTTATCTCACTATAGCTTAAAGCTGTATTTCTCGGGTGACCAGAGATGCTGAGCACATTTTCATATGCTTAACAGGTATTTGTAAGTGTTCAAGTCTTTTGCCTTGTTTTTAAAATTGGACTGTTTGTCTTTTTATCATCAAGTTCTAGGGATTTTTTATATAGTATGGGTATAAATTCTTTATACCTGGACTTAATTTCTTATCAGATATATGCATTACAGATTTTTTCCTACTTCGTACATTGCATACATAGATTATTTGGTAATAAAAATATATGAAATACTGATACAAGCTACAACATGAATGAAACCTAGAAACATGCTAAGTGAGAAAAGCTAGTCACAAAAAGACAAATACTGCATTATCCCATCTATAAAAATATTCAGAAGTGGCAAATCTACATGAACAGAAAACAGATTAATGGTTGCCTAGGGATTGGGGTATGGAAGGCCTCAGGGAAAATAGAGTGACTGCTAATGGGTACAGGACTTCTTTGGGAGGTTCTAAAATTGGTTATGGTAAGGGCTGCACAACTCTGTGAATACATTAAAAACTAATGAATTATGAATTTTAAGGGTGAATTGTATGGTATGTGAATTATATTTCAATAAAGCTGTTACTTTAAAAAAACACAACAAGCAATCTTTTTGGACATACTTTGTTACCTAATAGTTAAAAGGGTCTTTCATTGGTAAATTTATACTGATGTTAAACAAGAGCACTGTGAGCCAAGGAAGCCCCCCGGGTATTTGTCAAAATCGTCTAAAAGGTTAAAAACCATTGCTCTAAAGTTTCATACTTCCTCAAAAAGTTAAACACAGGGTTTCCACACAATCCAGTAATCCCACCCCTAAGTATACCTAAAAGAACTGAAAATCCTATGTCCACACAAAAACTTACACACACGCATTCATAGCAACATTATTCACGACAGCCTCAAGGTAGAAACAAATCCAAATACCCATCAACTGAGAAACAGGTAAACAGTATGTGGCACAACCATACAATGGACTATTGTTCAGCCATGAAAAGGAATGAAAAGTACTGATTCATACTACAGCTGAGACTTGAAGACAGACCAAATATCGCATCATTTCATTCACATGAAATGTTCAAAAAAGGCAGATTCAAAGAGATAGAAAATAGTTTTAGTGGTTTCCCAGAGCTGGTAGGAGGGGGCTGGGAATGGGAAGTGACTGCTAATGGGTGCAGGACTTCTTTCTGGGGTGATGAAAATATTGTGCAATCAGAATGTGGTGCTAACTCTGTGGACATGCTATAAGTCACTGAATTGTATCCTTGAGAAGTGTGAATTTTATGATATGTGAATTCTCTCTCAATGAAAAAAGAAAGTTTCTTAACATTACAAATACCAATAAGGTGTACAAACTTACCAAAATTCTTTTCCGATCCTTTTCTGATAAAAACTTCACTGGTGGGTATTTCTGGGTAAAGCTGTATAAGACAAAGAAATTCAAAAGGAAAAAGTCAAATATTTCATTTGAATATTTTCTCCATTTACTGTCAAAGCATATGCTAGGTTTTGGGACTGTTACTCTTTGCTCCTTCTCTTTACTCTTGAATGAGTGCTGGAGAAACCAAGGAGTTACAGGTTTATTTGAGGTCAAGTGCTATCTAACCTGCTCCTTTTGCTCCTTTTTTTTTTTTTTTTTTTTGAGGCAGTCTCACACTGTCACCCAGGCTGTAGTGCAGTGGCATGATCTTGGCTCACTGCAATCTCCACCTTTTGGGTTCAAGCAATTCTTCTGCCTCAGCCTCCCGAGTAGCTGGGACTACAGGCATGTGCCACCAGGCCCAGCTAAGTTTTTTTTTGTATTTTTTAAATAGAGATGGGGTTTTACTATGTTGGCCAGGATGGTCTCGATCTCCTGACCTCGTGATCCACCTGCCTCAGCCTCAAAGTGACAGGATTACAGGCACAAGCCACCGCACCCAGCCTGCTCTTTGTTGAGAATCAAGCTAAGGATATGACTCGCGATTCCATCTCTGAGAAGTGAAAGCTTACAAAGCTACAGACTTCCAGCAGCTGCTAAAGCAGGGCAGACACTACCTCTAGTAGTCCAGGTAAAACTACACCATGAGGAAGATGGCCACGAAACTGCCTTTGAAGAAGGGTAAGTAATGAGAGAAACCTAATATGACTGGCTCCATCTTGCTTCTAAACTCACAGTCTAAATTTTATTGTTTTTGCTTATTTTAGAGCAGAGGCCAAGATAACTAGGAGAGGAATTTATAGTTAAACATTGAAGCAAGAAAAACGGACCCTCCACCTTGTTTCGAGATTGAAGCCACACTCCTAAGCCAAGGTTAGAGTTATGGGTGGGTCTGAACTTTGCTAAAGAATAAGCATAGTTCAACTATGATCTGCATGGCTTAGCTGAGCTTGGTTTTCTATCTGTTGCTTACTGCCCCAGAGTCACACAAACAGAGGTCACAAGACTTATAACTTCTCCAACAACTTCTACAGGTGACATCACTATTGTGAATCCTAAAGAAATGGCCTTTTGAGATAGCTTTCAGATTTAGCATTTGGCAGACAGACAAAGAGATGTCACCTAGTCACCTGGTCCTCAGACTCTGCTTACAAGAACTGCGAGAGGACAGTTTAGACACACGTGTGATTTCACACTCAGCCAATTGTTTCAGCTCCCCAGACCCCACCCACCAAACAACCCTTAAAAATTCTTGAGTTCTCAGGGAGAAAGAGTTGAGAAACCTCTCCCATTCTCACACATGGCTGGCCCTGAGATTTAACTCTTGGCTGTTACCACTTCCTGTTCTCAATGCCTTGGTTTTCTCAGGGCAGTGGGTGAGAAGAACCCATCGGGCTATAACCATGGCATTCTCTAGATGCTGTATGGGGGCCAGATGGAAGAGAGCAGTTTCATGAAGTCACAGGCCCCAGACGGGAGGACCACTCCAGAAAAGATATTAATGAAACTTTGTCTCCTGCTCCAGGAATTTTCACAATCACAGCATCCTCTTTCTGACCTGTGTCCCTGGTAAAACAATTGGGCATCAGCACCTTCTGTCTCGGTGGGTCAGTTCTGATCCTGTCTTAAGTCTCACTTATCTTTCGATGCCCTCTTACCACCTTAAGATGCCATGGGTCCCCAGTCCACACTGATGTCCCAGGAGCCGGGTAGTGTAATTAGAATATAAAATGTCCAGTGAGAGGTGATAAACACAGAACTGAAATATTCATTTTTAAAGTGATTCAGTTAGGAACAAAAGTGCTTTAAATAAAATCTCAGACATCAGCTTTATGGTCATTATACTAATTGGAGAGGTGTTGGGCCAGGTGGCACTGTCTCCATCCCCATCCTGTCCCCAGCACTGACACATTGCTAGGATACCAAATGCACTTCCTTTATAGTCGCTCAACTGAACAGAATATGACAGGTCATTAGACAGAAGCCCCTGAAATAGGAGTTTCTCATCTCCAGAAGGCCTGGAAGGGTGCTTAAATTGGTGTGAAAGGGCTTTCTATTACAATGCAGACGAATTCCCCTATTAAGAACTTCCAGAGTCTCAAAAGGTCAAGTTCCCCTTGCAGACTACAAAATCAGATGAAAGAGTCTGAGGGCATGGGTGGGAACCCTGGCATTCCCCCTTGTGAGCTCATGGACTGTTTTCAGCACTTGCCACCCATAGGAAGTACCTCGGGAATGGTATCCAAGCAGCTGTGGAGCAGGGGCAAGTTCTGCCCTCAGTCAGGAGGGATACTGTTAGACTGGCAGGATCAGAACAGATGTCCTGTTTGCCAAGTAACACTTGGGAGACTACCTTGTAAATCTGAGTTATCTGTGGGCACCTCTGACACTGCTCCAATTTTTCCCATTTCTCTGAACTCACAATATCCTGGTCTTCAGCCTCAATCCTCAAGTGGCACATCCAGTGCTGTGGCACAGCTGAGACCCTCTTTCCTTCCTATGACTGCTGACAAGCACTGTGGCTCCTCCGGACTGCCATGAAAATGCAGGTGCCATCTCTGACGCATCACTTCCCATCACTCACCTTCAGTGCTTTCTCTACCATGTATATGATTTTAGAGTCAGGACTGCTCGGGAATGGGGGTACAGCTACACACGGGAAAATGAGAGGTGGGGAGAGAAACCAATTCAGTGAGGAGCAGAGGCACAGGACTGTGGCATGTGCATCCAGGGCCACAGAAACAAATGTTAATCCAAGCTGTCAGCTTAGAATAGTCCCTGTCTGAAAGCTTAAAATGAAACGCGGTGTGCTACTTATACCGAGAGGAGCAGGGCAAACTGTTTTATTACAGGAAATGTTACTTCAAAGAAATTGAACTGAAGCACAGGCATGGTTGCCTGACACATGCAGTGACGGGTGCAAGACGGACTAAAATATACTTCAAACGCAGTGTGCTGAAACCCTTAATTTAAAAAACGAAAAATATTTTGGGTTTCTTGCATTGTTTTTCTTCAATATGTAGCTGCCAAGTTTTAGCTTTCACATGCATATGCTCAAGTAATTAAACTTTTAGAAAACTATCTCATAGTCCTCACTTCTTCCTCTGAGGCAAAGCTGAAGTAACAGAAAGGGGTGAGTTCCTGTGGGGTCCTCCTCAGTATGAATGTCATCCTGTTTTCCTCCTTGCAGTCATGGGTGACAGAGCACAGTGACCAATAGAGAGCAGTGACCATGCAGATGCTGTTGGCTGGGCCACATGCTGAGCCGGCTGCCCAGTGCTCCCAAGCACCTGCTGGACTGACCCAGGGTTGGGCAGGGGCACAAGTTCTTTTTTTTCTTTGAAACAAGATCTCACACTCTTGTTGCCCCAGATGGAATGCAGTCGCACAATCACAGCTCACTGCAGCCTTGTATTTTTCATAGAGATGAGGTTTCATTACGTTGCCCAGGCTGGGCTCAAACTCCTGGGCTCAAGCGATCTGCCTGCCGAGGCTTCCCAAAGTGCTAGTATTACACCGTGCTTAGCCCACAAAGCTTCTTAAAGACCTGTAGGAGGTGAAACACCTACCCAGTGTATGGGCTCATCCACTTATTTAGGAACTTTCCATTAAGCGCCTGTTCTACACTAGGCACTGGGGGTTAAGCAGCAAAATACGGCAGAGGCATGAGGCCTGTGTTCCCGACTGAGAGAGAAACCAGCAAGCAGAGGCAAGATGAGGGATGAACTAGGTAACAAATCTTTTCTGACAGCCCCAAATTAATTCTTTACTAATTATTAATATTTTATGCCATTCCAGACTTAAACTTACTGTTTATTAAGATAGCCGGTAAGTAGTATCCTTACTCAGAATTGAAATTATCATCATTTGTCATCTATTCAAAGAACATTTAAAGATACAAAATTAAAATTAAACAAATGGCAAATAATCAAAGTATTAAGAAATGAGAGTGTGGTGAAAAAGAGAAAACGCTCACATACAATTCTGTTACTCAGGCTTCTAGAATGACACTGTCTTCTTTCTTTCCCTGTATAAATATAAACTGTAACTTCCAAAAATATCTTTAGTTTTGAAATTAACAGTTTTGTTGACTGCTCAGTTGAGGATAAGAATGTGAATGACACATTTTGTTTAATGACTCTTTTCCAATCTTATTTCCCTTTGATAGTTTAATGAAAATCAAAGAAAAACTGCTCATTTCTTCACTTTTGTTCTGGACTTGATAAAAGGCTCATTCAATGCTGACACACACCATCCAAACTCATCCCAAGAAAGAAGAAAAAACTCATCTCAACTTTAATAAATGCTGTCATTTTTGTTCTTAAAATTTCTAAAGACTCAACTGCTACTCTAGACCATGTTTTTTGCATACAGCATATGCAAGCAGAAAGTCCCGGAGCCTGAAGCTCAGCTGCCTCAGAAGTCCCAAAGGGTGAGGAGGGGTTCTCTCTGGAATCTGATTCAAATAACTGTTTCTATTACACCACATAAATCTTCCCTCCCAGCTACTTCACCTGGACTACATACTGGAAACCTACTCATGAACTTTGGTGACAAAAGCAACTAATGACTAAACATGACACACCACAGGCTCCACATCCTTAATTTGTGGTGTTTGTACATGATACTATGTTTGAGGCCCACCAGATTGTCCTCCTGTTTTGGAATTCTATCCAACTGATCAATACACACATAAGTTAAGTGAAAATGTGAGGCTTGGCCACAACTTCTATGTAATAAATTTGCAGAAATTCAGATGTTCAGAGTTTGAAAAAGGAAGATCTTAGCATATCAAGATTGATTCTTCTCCCAATGTTCTATATGGGTATTATGCTCAAAGGCTGGGGGGAATGCAAATGCAGACATTTATTTAGGTGGCAGAGTTTGGGGAAAGCAAACTGAGAATTAATTACTCGCTTGAGACAAATTTATTTTAACTATTGACCTTACGACAAAAAGTACACCTACCTTTTTTCTAAATCTCTGATTTTCTCTCTTAGTGGTTCAACAATCTAGAACAATAGTAACAAAAATCAGTTTTAAAGCAAAAACACAGTCTTCAATCCTTTTCACTCCATTCTGATGTTTTAGATAAGCATGACATAATGCAACACAGGTTTTAATTTCTTCTACAAATTAACTTTCAGTTTGAAATTAAGATATAGCACTTGAGTCGCAATGCTAGAATTGAGCAGATAAACTGTCCATTTGAACTCTTACTCCATAAATGCCTCAGTTTCTGAGACAATTAACATTTTTGCTCACCCATCTTACTAGGAAGAATGTAAGGCTCATAAAAACAGATCAACACTATCCATATCTTTTTAGGAAGAATCCCCGAAGTGTGGACCACAAAAGCTTAACATCTTGTTTCTGTAATTATTTCGTATGTTATCAGCTGCGGCACATAAATTGCAGGCTATTAGTCAACCCACATCCACGTCTGTAGACACTGTGGGCTCAGGCAGGAAGAGAGCAACCCAAGGGCTTCCCAGGACTCCCTCATTTGGCTTCATATCCAAAATAACCTCCCATCCCCTCCCCCACAGCCCATGTTGCAATAGTCTGGCTGTATTTTTATGTATTTAAATAGGAGGTGTATAACCCAGCACAGGTGCTAGCCTTCAGTTGGGTGGCAGTGTGACATCCCCATCTGTGCACATGGATGCTCTTTACATTTGTGGCCAAGCATCTGATCAGGGGCCATTTTTCTTTTTGGCATCTGTGCTAGTAAGAGGATGTTGGTACTAATTTCTGTCTCCCAAAGATAATTACTTCCCTTTCTCTAAAAAAGGCTTACCTGAAAAGTCATGTAAAAATCTAAACCCATTTTGTCTATAAGGTGGAACTTGTTTTATTCGGTCAAAAATGGACCAACAGTAACAGAGACTGCACGTCCTCTTAAATAACAAGAGAGATGGTTTCAAATCACAGAATAGCATCAAGCTGCCACAATAAGGATGACAGCACAAGCAAAGGACGTGAAATTGACAAGTACACAGGCAAAATAGATACAAAAATGGAAAAGAGACTAACCTCTTCAATCTTGCTTTCAATTTTTAGTTCGCCGTTTTCCTGGATAGACCTGTTGAGTAGAAAACCACAAACTGAGATTAACTGAAAGGCTTTGTGACTTCAAGAATGTTTCTGAATCAAATACCCTAACACAACCTGAAGGCTGCAGAACACCCCTACCTCCTGCTCAAGTATCAGTCACGTGTGCAGTTCCCTCCAGAAGGGTTGCACTAGAGGAAAAGAAGACAACCAAGGGAGGGAATCCCTTAAATGCATGTACAAACATGCTCAGTATTACTGAATGAATTATTTCCACTAAACTAAAATAATCTCACTGCCATGCTACATCCAACACAGGATTTTAAATTAGAAGCAGGAAGTGTGTCTACAGGAGTACATGTTTGCCTGCTGGGCTTTCCTGGGGATTTAATACAAAATGGAGTCTTAAGTAAAACTACAGAGCTCCTTTAAATGGGATCTGAGCACCCCACCTAGTCACACAGCAGCCTTTGTCAGTAGACACTCACATGCCCTGGGGGTAGAAATCAGATTAATACCATCCCACCCACCTTGCAAAAAAACTCCACATTAAAAGCCTCCTGAGGGCATAGTAACCTTTTACCCTAGTAGACATATGCAGCCTCATTACATTCCAATACGAACCTAATCATCACAATAGCAATTTTCACAACATAACAAAGTGGAGCAAGTTTTCCTTTAAATGGAAAACTACTCACAAAGCCAAATTTGTTTTTACAATAAATGCTTATTTCTTTTTGCTGATTTTTAAAGGCTATTTTTATAATTTGGTAAAGAGATAACACAAGGGTTTTATTTCTACAAGAGACCCTCCTGCCCTAGGAAGAAGCACATAGGATGCATATAGGCTTAACCCTGGACTACATAGGTGGTCTCAGCATCCACATCCACTAGCTGCCCCCCCACCCCGGGGTTATGGGCCAGCCATGGCTGCCCTAAGACAGCTCCCTTCTCAAAAGGTTTTGCAAAAGCCCCTCAGTGTTCTTGCTCAAGCCACCCAGAAATGCAACGTACATAACCTAAGGTCGACCCTCTATTATCTACACGAGGACGGAAGGGAGGAGTGGCTGACCATTGCTTTACTTGTGGGCTTTACTTGGTAATTGTTAAAACCGGCTGCATTCCTTGAGAATACCCATAGGAGAAAAGAAATAGCCCAGATATGTGAACAGCAAGAACCAGGTTTTGTGTTTAAGATATTTTTCAATTAACCCATGACATCAGTGGTATATATGTACCAACTGAAATGTGTTTATAAAACCCAACCACAATATCCAAGTAATTAAAAATAATTACCTCATATTAACAAAGTTGCCCCAAACAGCTGTAAGAGAAAGAAAAAAAGTCATTATTTAAGGCCATAACTTTCAGGGATTCCAGTGGATGAAATCTTAAATTTCAAGCAATATTTTAAAGTTTATGAAGAAAACTAACTTATTTCAGGAAGACAACAAAAGGCACACTTTATTTTGAAAACAATTAAGTCTTATTACATAGTAAGCAAAAACAGGATTGGCAGAATTTATTCATACCAAGTTTGAGAACTGCAACCCAGGAAGATTGACTCAAGTTGCCCTGAATATATGCTCCCATCAGCAGCAGTGACAAGTGGACTTTTAAAGGAAGAGGCAATTTCTAAGTTATCAAGAATTTACATTAAAATGACATAAGCTACTGACTGGCTATACATTGTTTTTTGTTGTTGTTGTATAAAAAATTCCAGGAAAAAGATATTGGGTGAGGCAGCTGGGCAGAAACAAAATGCCTTTGAAGAACTGGCCCTGGGCATGGTAGGGCATGACTTTAGTCCCATGTTAATGACTCTCTGGGCCTGATAAATTCTGCAGGCCTCACATGGCTCACTCACATTGCTGAGCTATTTTTCTTTTCTATCTATCCCCATACTTTTGGAATACCTCTTTTGGAGTCTGGAGACCCCAGTTGGAGAGTACAAATGGAGCTTCTTCTTCTTTTTTTTTTAAGTGACAGATCTCCTTTGTTAACCAGACTGGTCTCTAGCAATCCTCCCTCCTCAGCCTCCTGAGCAAGTGGGACTACAGGCATGTGCCATCACATCTAGCTAAGGATGCATGTGCTCTGATAAACAGTATGTTCTCAACCTTTGAGGAAGAGCTAGCCACAAAAATCAATCACAAGTCTGAAAGATGTCCTAAGGTTCCATTTAACCTCTCCCATGTAATGATGATGAAAGCAATCCCAGAGAAGTTTAAAAGCAGCCTGCAGTGCAGCTTAACTCCAATAACAGTGCCATCCTTGCTCAGCACTTAGCACATCTCCCTTCTATACTCTAGGCACCTGGTACTGGTGGCACGCGCCTGTAGTCTCAGCTACTCGGGAGGCTGAGGCAGAAGAATCGCTTGAACCTGGGACGCAGAGGTTACAGTGAGCTGAGGTCGTGCCACTGCACTCCAGCCTCGCAACAGAACAAGACTCTGTCAAAAGAAAAAAGAGAAAGAACCAAAAAGAACCAGCAGAGCCTTGTCCACACTCAGCGCCAGAGCATCGACAAGCTGGAGCGGCGGCTGGACGGAGCTGAGCGCGGAGAATCGCTGCTTGTGGGAGCATCAGCACCTGCTGCAAGCGTAGCCTCCGCCAGGATTCCTTACCTGGTGGTCTTCCGGCTGCCGGCCTCCTAAGTATCGCTGCCGCCAGTGCCGGGGCCCAGGAACCTCTTCAGCACTACGGACAGCGCTCGCTCGCCAAGTCACAGGCGGCGTCTCAGCCGACATCGTTTCAGGACCATGGACAGCTCCTGGCGCAACCCCAGCCTGGCCTGACGGCAGGGCTCACACACCCCAGGCGCTCCATCAGCACCTGGGGACACTTGGGGCCAAGGCCAACAATGAGAAGAAAGGTCCCCCGGATTGCCATGCTGCCCCGGAGCCCCTCTTCAACAAGAATCTCCCTCGCCGTCGCCAAAGGCGTCCCGAGCAGCAGACCTGAGTGAGCGAGGAGGAGCAGATGGGCACTGCCATGGTGGGAGCAAGAGAAGCAAGCGGGTGCGAGGGGACAGAGAAATCGGGTGCGTAGGAATCGAAAGGTCCTTGGTGATGTGGTGTGAAGGGGTGAGAAGGTGTTTGGGGGCAGAAGCCTGAAAGAGTTGTGGGGAAAGGGGAAAATATCAGTGTTTGAGAAGGTTTGGGGAATGTTGGAGCAAAAAGGAGTAACCTTCCCAGTATCGCTGATTTCTCTTCACTCACTCACTCACTCACTCACTCACTCACTCACTTTTGCGTCTCGCCAGTCAGATTCACCTTCCTTCTACAGACCCCTGCATTTATACTGCTTCCTTCCCATATCCGAACGTCTTGCTCGCTTTCTCCCTCTTCTCTATATCCGGCTAGTAAGAGCCTCCTCTGGACGCCAAGACAGGAGGGGCTGCCCTGGGTCTTGGCACCGTCCCGCGGTGGGTGTGTGAAGGCCAGGGTGGCGGTGACGCGGCGCCAGCTGTGGGAGGGAAGTAAGTTCTGGGGAAGAAGGTAGCAAGCGGAACGCTGGGCTGATAGGATCCCGGTCCCTCATGTTCCCAGCCACCGGCCCAGGCGCAGCCAGGGCACAGGAGGCGGGTGGGCGGCTTGGAGAGGCTGCCGGAGAATCCGGTGCGCCGGGCTCTTCCTCAAGGAGCTCAGGGCCATCATGCAGAACCAGCAGAGCCTCACCGGGCGCGGTGACTCAAGCCTTTAAAAATTTTAAATAAATTTATAAAGATGGAAAATAAAAAATAAGACACTGTGCTCTGTAAATCAGTAGGTTGACCTAGTTTCTAATAATCTATTGTACATTCCAAAGTAACTAGAAGATAATAATTCAACATTTCTTGCGTAAAGAAATGGTAAATATTTAAGGTGATGAATATCAATATCCCAAGCACACTGATTTGATCTTTACAAATTATATGAAAGTATTAAATTATCACATGCACCCCAAAAACTATGTACATTCATTATGCATCAATTTTTAAAATTTAAAAAAATGGCAAACGAATTAGTGGTAGCCAGTCACTAGAAAGTGGTGCTATGAAAGGGTAGTAAAAGAAATTCATAGGATGAAACTGTTCTGTATCCTGACTGTGGTGACATCACAGGAATCTATAGATAACAAAATTGCATAGACAAAAAATATAGACACAAATGAGTACATGTAAAACTGGTGAAATCTAAATAAGGCCAATGGATTCTATCAGTGTTAGCCTCCTTGTTATAAAATCATAGTATATATTACACAAGATGTTAACATGGGAGGAAAGTGGGTGAGAGGTATTTAGGACGTCTGTGAGTTATTTCTTAAAACTGTGTGTCCATAATTAATACAGAAAAATTAAATCAATTCCACACATTAATTCTTAGAAATAAAATTAAAATAAACATATACCTGGACACACAGTGTGAAATGGCAAAACATTAGGGATGAGAGGAAAATCTAAAAGCCTAGCAGAAGCAAAGGACATCTGCCCTACCATTAAAAAATATTAGTTAATCAGAGACATCCTCTCAGCAATTCTAGTGGTCAGGTATTTTCAGGCATAATATCTAATTCTCAATTTAAAAACAAATAGAATTCCTAGAATAACCAAAAATAATCCAGCTTCTGGTAATGGCAAAGTAGCTTGTTCAGACTAAGTCTCCTTCAGAAATAAAATACAGTTAAAACCAAACAAAACGACTCTGGAAGGCACCTGGAGCCCAGGCCAATGCAAGGAGAAACTGGAGGGATGCCCAGCTTTGAAAGACAGAACCTAGAAGGGAATGTGAATGAGTCTGTGGCTTTTTGCCTATGGATATCCCTGACACATGGGCACAGCTTTGAGTGTCAGAAAATTGTGGCTGCTCTGGCAAGAGGTGCTGGAAAACAGAGTTAGAGTCTGGTAGAACAGCTAGAAACGTATAGGGAAAATCCTGAGAGAAAGAAGAATCAACATGTAATAACCCTCCAAATATATGGCTGACTACTAGACTTCAAATGTACTGGTGAGACCCCAGTAAGCCAACAGAAGGGGTAGCAGCTGGAACCTGGAAGAACTGAGCCAAGACTTTGCTGCCCACCATGAAGATCAACTAGACAAAACTGAAAATATTAGTGTGAGTTTGGAGTATTGTATTATCTTTGTTTTAGCATAATTTATTTAAATTGTAAGTTCAGATAATTGAACTTTAACGTTTTCTTTTAACTACTGGCTTGCAAAATTCCTGAAAATTTAACAACTGGCTCCCCACGAGCTGGTTCAAGTTGACTCCAGCACATCACTGAAGCCACCCCATTATTGGAGGGGCTGACTTTGTACTGTAGTATTATCTAAACTAGAACTCCATTTTCCAGATTTCCCTTACATATATGGCACCAAATTGGGGCTGGTTGTAAGAGAAATTTGTGCAAGATATGGAAATTGACATGAAGCAGATGCCATGACAGTCAGAAGCTCAACACAGGGCCCCAATGCAGCAGTGGAATGTACGCATGGTCACTGATGTGTAGGCTCAGCCTGTTGGAGTGGGATTGCCCGGGGTGGCAGCCACCTGCAGCTCCCCCAGCACCTGCCAGATCATCTCTTTCAGCTCCCAGGCCAGACATGTATATACTTCCAAGATGAGGGCCATCAGCTTTTTTGCTGTTCAAACACGTCTTCAAAGTTAGATTCCATGAGAGACATACCAGGCTCCCAGGTGTCCTCTCACTTATGTCCATGAGCTCCAGTCTCTCTTTACACTTCTCCACCTTATGTGCAGGGTTTTTTCCCAGCTGCCTGCTCTGTGGGCCCACAACAACCACCTCAGTCCCTCTAGCTGCAGAGGCAATAGCTTTCCTCAGACTTGTCTGCTTCTCTCTTTGTAGTTTCATATCACTGTCCTGTTCCAGACCTTTACTTCTCCAGTTAAGTAAAGCTTCCCTAGAACCACAATTGAAATTGTGTAACTGTGTAAAAGTATCAAGTCCTATGAGCAATCTCATATTCTAAATACTCATGGTGGCTCTGCTTTCCTGATTGGACCCTAATATGAGTCTTGATAGTCATTTTTTTCTTTTTTTTTTAGACAGAGTCTCGCTCTCTGTCACCCAGACTGGAGTGCAGTGGTGCAATCTCAGCTCACTGCCACCTCCACCTCCCAGCTTCAAGCAATTCTTTTATCTCAGCTTCCTGAGTAGCTGGGACTACAGGCACGTTCCCCCCACACCAGGCTAGTTTTTGTACTTTTAGTAGAGATGATGTTCCGCCATGTTGACCAAGATGATCTCAAACTCCCCATTTCAAGTGATCTGCCCACCTCAGCCTCCCAAAGTGCTGGCATGACAGGCGTGATCCACCACAACCAGCCTTAACCATTATTTTGAAATGGAAGGAGATGGGATACAATAGCATAGGCTAGTGATATGGTTTGGATATCTGTCCCCTCCAAATCTTATGTTGAAATGTGATCTGATCCCCAGTGTCAGAAGTGAGGCCTGGTGGAAGGTGTTTGTGTCATGGGGGCAGCTCCCTCATGAAAGGCTTAGTGCCCTCCCCATGGTAATGAATGAGTTCTCACTCTGTTAGCTCATATGGGTTTTTGTAGGAGCCTGGTATCTCCTCCTCTTTCTCTTGCTTCCTCTCTTACCATATGACACTCTTGTTCCTATTTAACCTTCTGCCATGAGAAAAAGCTTCCTGAGGCCTCCCCAAAAGACAAGTAGATGCTGGCACCATGTTTCTTGTACAGTCCGCAGAATTGTGATCCAAATAAACCTCTTTTCTTTATAAATTACCCAGTCTCATATATTCCTTTAAAGCATTGCAAAATGGACTGTCAGAGTTAAGACAGGATAGGATGGGACAGGATAAGACAGGGTAATGTCAATGTATCATAGAGAGTAAATGTAACTATTATTTATGAAGATTTTGCTTCAAAGTTTTAGATAATCTAGGTCACCTTGGGTTTAATCCCAGGGATATCAGCCCACATTCCAGTCTGTATAAATGATGCCCTCAGAGCTGTGCAGTGTATAGCCTGTGTGTTTATCCAAATGACATCAGTCCTGATATAAAAAGTATTTCTCTGTGTAGGGGTGTCCTAGTTTGTTTTACACTGCTATAAAAGAAAACTACAGACTGGGTAATTTATAATGAACAGCAACTCACATTTCTGGAGCCTGGGAAGTCCAAGCACACATGCTGGCATCTGACAAGAGCCTCAGTGCTGCATCAACCCATGGCAGAGGTGTGAGGTGAGAGAGCGGAAAAAAGAGGGCCAAGCCTCATCCCTGTATCAGGAACCCACTCTGGGGATAATGGCATTAATCCATTCACGAGGGCCCTGCCAAGTTTTAGGGTAAAGAAATTTAGGGGAATAAAACCTGTATTCAAAGACACCTTCTGATTGCTAACTAGGTACACTACTACATAACCCAGGTTTTGACTGGACATCACATCTTAGTCCTCTGAGCCTAAAACTCACAGTGAGGGGAGAGACAGCTGTGTTCATACACAGCCAAATAGGCTTCATGGTTAGGCAAATAGAAAGAAAAGCCCTCTTCTCAAATAGAATGCGGTTCCATAAGCATCAGGGCAAAAGGGTCTCCAAACTCGAGGCAGATACACAGGCCAGTTACTTTAAGGTCTAGCCCTAGTGAAGAAGGCCTAAAGACAACCGAGGGATGGGCATTAACAAGACACAGAGGATGCAAGATTCTGTGAGACTGTAGGAGCAAGCAAAGATTTGACAAGTGAGGCACAGACCTGGGGATATGTTAGTTCTCCTGACTGCCCATAAGCCTCAGGACACTGAGGGACATGGTACCCAAGAACGACATCTTTTAATTATTAAAAATATCCCAACACTTTCAAAGTCACTTCTGCTCTTCCCACTTTTTGCCTAGTCTCTGCAGGCAGATATGTCCTGTTAAAAATTTAGCCAGATCAGCTGGGCATGGTGGTACACTGTAGTCTCACCTACTCAGAAGGCTGAGGCAGAAGGATGGCTTGAGCCCAGGAGTGAGAGGCTGTAGTGTGCTATGATTGTGAAAAAAAAAAATGCCAGATGATGCCACTTGTCCCTGAGTCACCAATAATCTCCAAAATCCTGTGAGACCTGGCTCCCACCCATTTCTCTGACCCATTTCCTACAACATATCTCCCATGCGCACACTCTGACCAGCTTCACTGACCTGCTTTTTCCAGAATGGGAGGTTTTCTATCTCAAGGCCTTTGCATTTGCTCTTTCCTCTGCCTGGAACTCTGTCCCCCGAGAAACCTGTATGGCTCTCTCCTTTACCACCTCCACGCTGTTACCAATTTACACTTTCTCCATGAGGACTTCCATGACCCCTTTTTGAAAGTCACAGCCCCACACCCACAATCTTCTTCCTCCTTCCTGCCTGGTCTACTTCCTGCCTGGCCTCCTCCACGCCTGGCCCTGCCTTCTCTTTTCTGCCCATGAATGTTACCTCACCAGAGAGCCCTGGAGGCACTCTGAACCTATTCTGGTAGGGGGTCTGTCCCACTGAAACACAGCTCAACTATGTTACATTTACTGTGTCTATAGTTTTTCCTTCAACTCTCTTTCCAGCTAAGATACTACTGTTGTTAAATATCTATACCCACCACCACCACCAGTTGATAAACTTTTTGAGGGAAGCTAACATATTTCATTCAGCTTTCTATCTCCAGATCCTATTGTGGCACTCATGATGTAGAAAAGACACAATCAAACTGGGTGCATTGAATTAAAGTAATATTTCTTGCTGAAAACTGTGAATCTACCTATTTTTTTTTTCTATTGGTGCTAAACATCTGCTAGGAAATCAAAGATGAGTCAAGTTCATATTTATTTATAGTTCCAAACAGATTTTCTTTTCCTGAAGGGAAAGGAAGAGTATAATAGACCAAAGAGACCTGAGGTTAAGTAATCAAGGAATTAAAATTTAAAAGACCCTAACTTACTGATGGTGGCTTCCCGTTTTAGAAAATTAATTGGTGCAAATGTTTTCAAAAATTGCCCATTAAAAAGTCAGTGCAGCCATACATGGTGGCTCATGCCTGTAATCTCAATACTTTGGGAGGTCAAGGTGGGTGGATCACCTGAGGTCAGGAGTTCAAGACCAGCCTGGCCAACATGTTGAAACCCTATCTTTACTAAAAATACAAAAATTAGCCAGGCATGGTGGCGTGTGCCTGTAATCCCAGCTACTCAGCAGGCTGAGACAGGAGAATCACTTGAATCCAGGAGGTAGAGGTTGCAGTAAACTGAGAGATCACACCACTGCACTCCAGGTTGGGTGATAGAACAAGACTCCCTCTCAAAAAAACTTCTGTGCAAAAATGATGGCAGTTAGTATAATTCCTTTTGTTTCACTGCTACTATGCAGTCTCCAAACTGGCTTTGCATAGATCATCTGACGGGAGGCTCACGACATTTGTGTGAAGTTGATGGCTAGTGAGATGAGCTACAATAATGCCAAGAGTTAATAGCTCTCGAGGGACCATGTGTGGATTCAGATTCAGTCTTCCTGGCACAGCAGACTATCTCTAAAACCTTGTTCACATAGCATAATCTCTTCCCCTCTACTAGGTCAAAAATGGTCAGGAGAGCTGGAGAAGGGCAAGCCAAAGCCCCAGCTGTGGCTCATGGCAAGCCTTGACCCAGTTCCTGTCAGGGAACAAGCAGACCTGGACCCTCAGTCCAGGGATGCAAGAGGAGGGACTGATGCATTTTTCCTTCTTCCAACCTCTGCATTTCATTTGTCCACACAGATATCACTCATTTTAGCTAGAGAAGCTTTTACTAGCAAGCAACTGCAACTTTTAGAGAAGTTTTGCAATAAAAACAATTTCTTTTCTTCTCAAAATGTGCAAGACACCCACCCCCATTTTCCCTACCATTTGTAAGACTGAGGTCTTAGCAGAGAAGAAGAGGGGCAGGAATGGCTATTTGGAAAGCAAAGGATGATCTCTGCCATCTGGGTCCTATAAAAAAGTGCTTCTCAAGCTTGAAAGAGATGAGGATCCTATTGAAATGCAGATTCTGACTCAGGAGATGCAGGGAAGAACTCCAGAGGCTGCAAGTCTCATGGCCTCTCAGGTGCGGTCAATCTTGTGGACCATATTGGTGTAGCAAGGCTCTAACCAGCAACTGTCAGACTTAAGTGAAATCAGAATCACCTGGAGGCCTGGTTAGTGCTCAGATTTCTGGTCCCACCCTGGAGTAGCTGATCCAGTAGGTGGGGGTGGGGCTTGGAAATTTTCATGTATGGCAATCTCCCAGGTGATGCCAATGTTGCCAATCAAGGCATACACTTTGAAAACCACAGGTCTGCTGTATTAGTTAATAATGGTTGTCAATCTTAAATAATGAGATTCAGAAAATATGTTAAGTTTAGAATTTATTCGAGTACAAAGCTTGAGGACAGGAAACACCAAACCATGAAACACCAAACCGATGGGGTCAGCATTCCAAAGTGGAGGGGTTAAGGTTTCACTTAGATGGAAATGTTAGCGGGATTGCAACCTTTTCCATACACTACAGAGATCTACATATTGTTACATTCTTAAAAAAAAGTATTACTCCATGAGAAGGGGTAATGATCTGAGGGGGGCTTATCTCTGGCACCATTTGGTCTTAATTATGAATGGGGAAAGCAAGGCAGGTTGCAGCTACGTGACACGTGACTCAGGCTGCACAGCCACATTTCTCTCATGGCTCAGGATAATTTAAAATTCCAACAGCTTAAGTTTGAATTCTTTCAAGTTTTTATTTAATTTCACAGGCTTAACGGTTATTTGCATGCTCATTTTCAGTTCTGAAGATGGAAAATTCTTAAATATTCACACTTATCAACCTCTACTTGAAACATCATAGGAATTGGAAATGTATGCACATTTATCTTCATACCCACATGGATGGTGGTGTATTGGGGCACTGGATGTGAAGAGGAGTATTCATTTTCTTGGAGTTGTCAGTTAATAAACAATTACCTGTTTGTATCTGCTACAGTAAAATACTACATGTAGTAGCCTTTACAGCCATTCCACTGAGTTATATCAAGTTCAAAAGATGACGCCAGCCAACCTATACCCACAAAGTGCTCAGGTAGGTGTTTCTTAGAAGATGAAGGTGCAGTTTTCTGCACACCACCTGGGGGCAGCAGTGCTACCTGTATTTTACAACTGCTGGAACAGAAACTAAATAAAACGTGGAAAATCAGTATCCAGCTATTGTTTCATCAAAACTGTGTGGTCTGCATAAGAGCATAAAAATTATAATGCATTGCGACTTGCCGGATAATAACAGTTCCAGAGTTGAAATGTCTGAAATTGATGGGCGTGTAAGAAATAAATAAGTCTTAAAATTTCATATATCTCAGCAAACATGTTATTTAAAATAAATGTCATAGGAATCCAGTTGAAAATATTAGTAAACTATATATGTGTCATTTTGTGCAGATCACAAATATCTGCCGTGAGCAATGCCTTCAGTCCCTCTCCTGAACTGGATCTGGTGCTGCCCTGAGAGGCCACTTGTGCTTCTGCCTGCTGAGGGGTGGGTGTCTTTTGCTCACACCCATCCCATCCTGGGCTTAGGGATAATCCTGTTTGTTTCTTGCCTTCACTTTCAAATCTTTATACTCCTTCTCCTGCCCTCCTCATGTCCCCCATAATCCCTGCCTAAAGAAAAAGCTTTGTGGCCCATGCTGTAGACTGTGGCACCAACCCCGACCTTTAGAGGTTGCCTCTGAGGCCACTGGCCTCATTCCCTGAAGATCTCAGCACCTGGCCACTTAGCAGTCTGTCTCCCCAGCACTGCTTCTGCTGTAATTCATTAGGGGTGCATATTCCCATGGATAGTCCCTCCAATGCCTGGCCCTTCAGCGGCTCCCTCCTCTCCTCCAGGCTCCTGCTGTCCACAGGATTCCAGGAGCCACTTTCCATCACATCATAGACAGCATCATGATCATAACTGTGACCCTTGGTAATCTCTGTCAAGCATCCCACCCACGACCCCACCTCCTATTTTCTGGCCATGTGCCTCTACCTCAACAAAAGTTTGATCCCCCGGGACCTACACCTCCCTGATGCTGGATTTGCAACCATCCCTCCCTTCCTCCTTATCCTTGATTTCCTCCACACCAGCTTGGATTCCAGAGCCCACCATTAATCCTTCCCCTCCATGTGCATTCAGTGCTTTTGCCCATTCTCCCACAGTCATATTAGCCAGGAAAAACCCCAAACCCCATTAAACCCAACTCTGCCAGTCCCTCACTACATCCTTGCACCTGAATGTACTGGAGAAAAACTCCTGCCTGGTCTACTGGCCACCCTTGAATTTAGTTCACTCAATTGCTTAGTTTCTGTATTTTGCTCATTCAGAACAGGTATGAAAACTGAACTCCAGGTGAGAAGAGGCAGGGGACATTCAATAGGAGCCCTGGGGTGGAGCCCCAGGATTGCTAGAACAGCAAGGGAGGCGGCGAGGTCTGTCCAGGCGGGGAAGAGTACTGTTCTACATCAGAACCACCAGCGAAGCTAGTCAGTTATTTCCCACTGTATAGCTTACCTGCCCCCAACTCTTTGTTCTTGGCATTTTAAGAAGCACATCTGGGCCAGGCACGGTGTCTCGCCCCTGTAATCCCAGCACTTTGGGAAGCTGAGGCAGGCAGATCACTGAGGTTGGGAGTTCAAGACCAGCCTGATCAACATGCGGAAACCCCCGTCTCTACTAAAAATTCAAAATTAGCCAGGCGTGGTGGCACATGCCTGTAATCTCAGCTACTTAGAAGGCTGGGGCAGGAACCCGGGAGGTGGAAGTCACAGTGAGCTGAGATGGTGCTATTGCATTGCAGCCTGGGCAACAAGAGTGAAACTCTGTCTCAAAAAAAATGGAGAAGAAGAAGCACATCTGAATAAGTCAAGTGAGCACTGGCTGGTATTTTATTTAGTTTTTATCAATAACTCAGTGATAGAAGTCAGTTAAAACATCATCACTGACCTGGGATGTGAAAGTTCTTATGCAAAGAAAATCTTGATGTAGAATCCCAAAGGTGACTCTTTATGCTACCTACAAACTATTTTTTTTTTTTTTTGAGATAGGGTCTTACTCTATTGCCCATGCGGGAGTACAATTATGCTGTCATAGCTCACTGCCACCTAGCCTTGATCTCTCAGGCTCAAGCAATCCTCCCACCGCAACCTCTTAAGTAGCTGGAACTATAGGTGTGTGCCACCATGCCCGACTTTTTTTTTTTTTTTTTGCTCCTAATTTTTAGTAGAAATGGGTTTCACTATGTAGCCAAGGTTGGTCTTGAACTCCTGCGCTCAAGTGATCCTTCTGCCTTAGCTTCCCAAAGTCCTGGGATCATAGGCTTGAACCACCATACCCTTTCTCACAAATATTTAATAAAGAAAATGAATGTGGCCCCTACCTGATCAATTTATTAATATTTAGCACCCCCAAAGGAGCACCTTGCAGTTCTGAATTTGCTGGGAGAGCTAATACTAGGTGACTGGATTGGATAAATTCAGGAGTGATTATTACTGCAGCCTAGAATGAAGAGCCGATGATACTGGGTGAAAAATCCATAATACAGAAAAAAAAAAATCACAGCCATTCTATTGTTCCTTTTGTTCAAACGAATTTAGTGTAGTGTCCAATTATATGTACTGATACGTAGTTCAGTGGGTAGTAACTGGCACAGTAGCAACATTCATAATTCATAATTTGGGACTTATTTGCGCTTTTCAGTCTACAGCTAAGGTTTGGTGACGTTCTCGTTTCTGGAGTAATCGTGACATACAGTTGCTGCAAGAAATTGCAGCCTCATTGCAAATGCCTAAACTCAATGTCTATTGCAACATCAGACCACATTTCGTTCATTAATTGTTAAGCACTTTTACAGAAGGCAAACAGATGGAGGGGCCATACCTAATTCTGTATGCACTACCCTGTGAGCTGTTAGAGACTGACAAATGTTAAGACATTAATGAATGCTATTATTAGTGCCAAGGAACGTATCTGTCTGCCTTGGCAAATATTTTCATAGGTTTCTTCATTGAACTTAAGTTTGGAAGGGAAGTAGAATGTTCAACAGTAGTCCCACCTCCGTGTAACTAGAAAATCCCCTCTACAGTAGCCTAGTCAAGTGCTCACCACCTTTGTTTACTCTCAGACACCTCCAACAACTCTTAATCCAACACCCCCCATCCCCCAGGGCCATTTGTCCTATCTTGGGTGGCTGTCCATCTGGATGTTGGAAATTTTACTCATGCCCTAACCCATGGCCCAGCAGTCACTCAAAGCCATTGTTCTCCTCCCACAAGCTTCTTTTTTCCCCTCCCTCCCTTCCTCCCTTCTTCCTTCCTTTCTCTTTCTTTCTTCCTTTCTCTTTCTTTCCTTCTTTCTTTCTCTCTCTCTCTTTCTTTCTTTTTCTCTTCTTCCTTTCTTTCTTTCTCTCACTCTGTCACCCAGGATGGAATACAGTAATGGTATCTTGGAATACAGTAATGGTATCACTGTAACTTCTGCCTCCTGGGTTCAAGCAATTCTACTGCCTCAGCCTCCTGAGTAGCTGGGAGTACAGGAATGTGCTATAACATCAGCTAATTTTTTGCATTTTTAGTAGAGTCAGGGTTTCACAAAGTTGGCCAGGCTGGTCTCGAACTCCTGACCTCAGGCGATCCACCCTCCTCGGCCTCCGAAAGTGCTGGGATTATAGGCTTGAGTCACCACATCCAGCCCCAGAAGTTTTATTTCTCTAAGTTAAACACCTAAATTCCTTTAATTTCTTCTCATATAACACATGTTTGGGCCCTAGTCCTCCATGGACACTCCTTTGACCACTACTCCAGATTTTCTGTGATCTTCTTCAAGTCAGATGATGTGAACTGAACTAAATAGTAGAGAAGAGGTCCGCTCAGAGCCGTGGTGGTACAGAGACAGGACAGTTACTTCCTTTATTTTTTTTATTGCATTTTAGGTTTTGGGGTACATGTGAAAAACATGCAAGATAGTTGCATAGGTACACATGTGGCAGTGTGATTTGCTGCCTTCCTCCCCTTCACATATATCTGGCATTTCTCCCCATGCTATCTCTCCCCAACTTCCCACCCCGCACTGTCCCTCCCCTATTCCCTGCAACAGACCGCAGTGTGTAGTGCTCCCCTCCCTGTGTCCATCTGTTCTCATTGTTCAACACCCACCTATGAGTGAGAACATGTGGTATTTCATTTTCTGTTACTGTATCAGTTTGCTGAGAATGATGGTCTCCAGGTTCATCTATGTCCCTACAAAGGACATGAACTCATCATTTCTAATTGCTGCATAATATTCCATCGTGTATATGTGCCACATTTTCCCTCTCCAGTCTATGATCAATGGGCATTTGGGTTGGTTCCAGGTCTTTGCTATTGTAAACAGTGCTGCAATGAACATTTGTGTGCATATGTCCTTATAGTAGAATGATTTATAATCCTCTGGATATATACCCAGTCATGGGATTGCTGGGTCAAATGGAATTTCAAGAGATTGAGACCATCCTGGTCAACATGGTGAAACCCCGTCTCTACTAAAAACACAAAAAATTAGCTGGGCATGGTGGCGCATGCCCATAATCCCAGCTACTCAGGAGGCTGAGACAGGAGAATTGCCTGAACCCAGGAGGCGGAGGTTGTGGTGAGCCGAGATCACGCCATTGCACTCCAGCCTGGGTAACGAGAGCGAAACTCCATCTCAAAAAAAAAATAAAAATAAAAATGGAATTTCTATTTCTAGGTTCTTGAGGAATCGCCACACTGTCTTCCACAATGGTTGAACAAATTTACACTCCCACCAGCAGTGTAAAAGTGTTCCTATTTCTCCACATCCTCTCCAGCATCTGTTGTCTCCAGATTTTTTAATGGTCGCCATTCTAACTGACGTGAGATAGTATCTCAATGTAGTTTTGATTTGCATCTCTCTAATGACCAGTGATGATGAGCATTTTTTCATGTGTTAGTTGGCCTCATGTATGTCTTCTTTTGTACTTTCTTTTTTTTAAGTATCCTTTACTAAACAGCCTAAGATTGCAATTGCTTTTTAAACAACGACGTCTCTGTAGACTGACCTGAGCACAGGAAACAAAAACCCACGGGCTGCTGTGCACTACACTGATACCTTAGCTCGCCACCCAACAGACTCCCAGCTCTCCAAGGGAAGGTGTGAAGGCAACCACCACCTCTTTTTCCTGGCCCTTCAGGGTGTCCCTGGAGATCTTACGAAGCCATTTCCATGCCATTAAACCTAGAAAAATTGGGTGGCCATGTAATTATCATCCAAGCTGAAACACTCTTGAGAGCAAAATTAATTTACAAGGACAGCGGTATGTACTGGGGCTCTCCCTGTACAGCTAGAAAGTGTTTCCACCATATCCGTGAATTACAAGGGAGGCACTTAGCAGGAAATAGACTTAGTAAGTTCTAGCAGGTTCCCTGTCCCATCCCAGAGGACAGGCCAGCAGGCTCCCTGGATGGCCCAATGACTCTGCAGGCAGGTAGGTAGCACCTTAATCCAGATGCTACAGGAGGCTAGTAGGTTAGGTGGCTGCTTATGGACCATGGATTTGCTGAGCAACTTGGCTCAGAGGTCTTCAAATTCAAAATCTGTAAACAGTGGGTATGCTAATAAAATACATCCCTACATAGGGCAGCCAGTTTGTAATTCTCAGCTGTGGATATTTTTTTCTCCCCAACTCCATAGTAAGTTCTTCATGCAGAGGCTCTCTTTTAAAACATTTATTTCTTTTCTCCCAGCTTTATTGATGTAATTCACAAACAAAGTGGGGTTTTTTAATTTAATTGGGGTCACAGATACTTTTGAGAGTGTGGCAAAAGCTATGGTTCCTATTCCCAGAAAATTGTGCCTTTGCAGATGCAAACACAATTTTTCACACCTTTCTAGACCCCCTTTTAGTCTGTCCATGGAATGAGAGGCTAAGAACCCTGCTGAGAAAGTGGTCACCATTACCTCCAATCTGGGGCCAGACTCCAGTTCCTTACACCTGAAGATACTCTACTCACTACTTACAAAGTCAGCATGTCTGCATGCAACAGTTAAGGGTCAGAGGCTTCTATAGGTCTGCAAGCCAGTTTACTGGGTGGAGGGGTGTGTTCTATTAGGGAAGACAAGGTATTTTCTATTAAAAATGATTGAGCTGATCAGAAATACTTTTGAAATCAAATACAAATAACAGCAAGTGGTACAAATCATGCTTGGTTTTAGGGTGATGGGCAAGCTACAAAACTGGGCTGCACTTTTAGAGAGCGAAAGCAAGTTCTCCAGTATGTGGGAGCCCGACTCCCATTTCTGCCTGCCTCTGTCTTCACATGGGTGACCTCTCTGGATCCTCTCTTCTTATAAGAACACTAATCACTGGATTTCTGTTCATCTAAATCCCATATAACATCTTGAGACTCTCTCAGTGATGAGTCAGGCTGTTAAAAAAATTTTTTTAAAGAAAAATTTTAAGATCCTTAACAGATTATATATGAAAAGACCTCATTTCCAAATAAGCTTACATTCAGGGGTTTCTCGTGGTTAGGAATTTCGGGAGGACACTATTCAATGTATTACACCATGAAGCGAAAGTTTGCAGAAAGATGCACATGACAGATGGTTGCCCCTCATAGCAAGACACAGGGCTAAAAGAACAGCATCACTCTGACTAGCTCAAATCATAATGCCCTTGGTCAGCTGTGGTCATTATCACCAATATTAGCCATGGGCCGCCTGAATTGTTTGTCCTGCTGGCCAGGGAATACTACAAGCATTAAATACTGTGATATCACCAAGTTGCCAAATCAGGGTAGGGGCCTGCAGTTCTTTTTTTCCCACTCTGATTTCTGCATTTGATAAATTGAAGGGTACAGTGTAACTCTGATATGGATTTCAATTTTCATTCCTTTAGGTGGCATAAGTGGAAATAAACTCAAGCTGATGCTTCAAAAACAAGAAGGTAAATATTCCCCAAATGGATAAGGGATGCATTCTTAACTGGATGGAAATGAAATGGCAATATGGAATGTGCTCACTGGAGTCTTGTATTTGGAAAATCAAAAGTGTTTACTCCATAGAAGGTCAGCAAATATGAAGGGCTTATTCTGTGGATATGTGGTGTGGTCTTTTATTAGATAAATATTAGTGCCAGTAAATGTCTGAAGGATATTTTTCTCAAAGCTGTCAGTGTGGACTCAAAAATAAAAGAAACAGTGGTACAGTGTTAATTGCATGCTATTTATTTTAGAACCATGAAGCACGTTAGAGACTATCTTTGGAACACATAAGCCTCAGTTGGTGGGGCAGGCATGGAACCGCATTGTTATGGTAGTCCCTGTATCCAATGAGCTCTTGGGGAAAGGTTTCAAACAGGAAAGCCTTCTTGTTATTAGCCTCTGTTTTGAAAAGTGTATTTAAGATAAATGTGACAGCAGCAAAATGCCATAGAAATTGAAGAGTCTAGGGGTCACAACACACAGGTTCTGGACCTGCTGTAATCAGATCAGGTGGATCAATTGGGGGGTCTTGTGAATGTCATTTTCCCTCTCCCAGCTTTCATTTCCATCTGTAAAATTGAGAATCCTTTAGAAATGAAAAAGTGTTACCACATTTCTGATGCGACCATTTAGTCACTTATTCTTTCCTTCCTAGTTTACGGGGATTCTAACAGGCTGAACTTCCTCCCTGAAGTGGGGTCCTAGTCATTCTTCCCATATTCCCCACTTGCTGCTCAGGGACCCCCCCCCTCCAGCAGATGGCTCGAGAATAGGCGGACCCTCTTGAGGGCAAGGAGTTTCTTGGAGATGGTCCCAGCATCTTTACCTGGGTTTCCAGCCACCCATGAAACCCTGGTCCATCCCCAATCTCTGAGGCAGCTGAGATGGTCCCCCCCTGTGCTGTGGGGTTGCAGGAGCCTCTCCTCACGGATGCCAGGGATGAACAATGCCCTCACAGAGCCAGCTTGCCATAGGTGAGCAAGCTGCTGAGACAGTCACAACCCCTACATGTGCATCCTGCAGCCTTTACTCAGTTCAGACCAAGAAACACATATTGAGCACCTACTGTGTACAAAACAGTGTAACAGTCCCTGAAGGGATTGTAGAAAACAAATGAACAAACAAAAAAACCTGCTCCTAATTATCCATATGACCAGCAAACACATCGGGCCTGCATTTCCATAATCCTGTACATTTTTTCCTAATGTCATCAAGGGGAACTGTCCATCTGCTTTTATAGATGAAGGGACAGAGGCTCAAAATGTAACAGCAGGGGCAGAACACCTAATGAATAGTGGCTTCCTCAAGCACACCTGCAGAAGTGGTTCTGTTTCAACAATTGAGACTGTGATAGAAAAACATTAGCAGCATCAGTGTGACGGTGAGGGTCAGTACCCTGCATCAATGGTCAGACTGTGAGGCTCAGAGAGGCAATGGCTTAAGGGGACTTTGTGTCCCAGCAGCCTGGTAAGAGAATCAGCTCTACTGTTGGGCAGGGGCTGGTCCCTGCTCACCTGGGCTCATCATTCCGGTTCCTTTTCTTACATAATCTCCTGAGCCAAGCACAACCCTCTGGTGTTTGCATATGCAATGGACATGTCAGTATACCCGTGTGGCACTAGATATCCGGTCGGTTTCCTGAATCGGAGCCTGAGGGGTGGGTCACTTGCCCCTGGGAGAGGCATGGGTCCCGGGCGCTAGAGGGCTGCAGGGGATGAGCTGAATTTCATTTCTACCCTGAGGACCTAGGGGCTGAAATTTAGTTCATGCCCCTTTATAGGGCTGTAGCAATTAGAATTTACATGAAGCGTGGTGACTGATGCTCCCAGGCTGTGTCACATTGTCACATGCAAGTAAGAATGAAATTGAGAGTCAAAACCATGGTGGTGTGGAATGGGATATATAACAGGATTCACTTCGAGTGAGGAAGGTACTAATCATTCTTCGTGTTTTGGGGATGGGGAATTGATGATTTCAGCACCTGTTCCAACTAAGACTAATGTGGCCATTGATGAGAACAAAGCCAAAGGATTTCTCGGCAGCCTGAACCGCCAGAAGCGGCAGCTGTGGGACCGGACTCGGCCCTAGGTGCAGCAGTGGTACCAGCAGTTTCTCTACATGGGCTTTGATGAAGCGGTGGGTGTTGCCTCTGTCTGCAGGCCTGGCTTCCACAGGGCAGAGTGGCAGGGAGGAGGCCTGGCTCAGGGAAATAGGAAGCAAAAATTCAGCTTTGCTGTTCATTCCTAAAATAAGAGCCCCATCAGATGTGGAGTGCTGTCAGGCACAGGATCACATTACCTATGGTGTAAGGGTGACGGCTGGAAGTTTCCACCAGGGCACGTTCAGGAGGCAGAACCCAGGGAGGGCAGTCATGGACCAAAATGGCTGGGATGTAGATTCACTGGGAATCTGACTCCTGGGAACCCTTTTAACTTGGCGGAACAGTTTTGTCTGGGTATTCTTAAAATAACTCACAATACCCCAAAACCTTTTCATTTTTACCTTGAAGACTGTCAGAAACAACAAGCATGACAGACCTATGATGATAAGAAAAAGAGATGAAAAAGGACTTGTAAAGAGAAGATGGGTCTTTGTAGATGTTTTGGGCAAATTTTGACAATGCGCTTATAGGAAAAGATGGTTTACAGTTCATGCACCTAGATGGCATTAGTGGATGTATTTATTGAATGAAGTACAAAGGGTTTATAATCTCAGGTTCCCAGCTGGGGTGCATGCACAGGTGAGATGGCAGCCCATGGAAGTCACAGATGTGGCCATGTGGGCATCCATCCACAGTGACTGAGGAGGCTGAGCTCTTTGTGTGAGACGTAGAGGGAGGACACAAGGCCTGTGCAGCCCCACCAGGGAGCAAATAAGCTTTTCATGGGCAGCACCTCCAACTGGGCAGTTGGAAGTGTTTTACAAAACGGGCACATGATTCATTTAGACGGTGTGTACACAATACTGCAGGAGGTGAAGAAAAAACTAAGCCAGGCATGATTCTAAGTATTCAGAGGTATGAACTTACTTCACATTCACAACAACCCAAAAGGCAGGTGCTGTTATTTGCATCTCTGTGGAGTTTGCCCTTTACTTAGAACACATTCTTTCCAGTGAGGTTCCTGTGGCAAGGGTGGAATCATGTTTAACCGTCTCTGAGTATTTGCAAATTGCACATTCCTGTGAGTCACATGTAAGAGCAACAGTTTCCTAGAATCTTCAACAATATCTGGTGTTCTCATTGAAAATTAAAAATATATGTTTACTTATTTTAAAAATGAAAATGCTATATCCTCTTTTAGTAATTTGCATTTCTTTGATGACCATGATTAAAATGGGCATTAAGAGTTTAACATGCAGTGCCGGGCACAATGCTCATGCCTGTAATCCTATCACTTTGGGAGGCCAAAGCAAGCAGATCACCTGAGGTCAGGAGTTTGAGACTAGCCTGCTCAGCAGAGTGAAACCCCATATCTACTAAAAATACAAAAAATTGGCCGGATGTGGTGGCTCATGCCTGTAGTCTCTGCGACTCAGGGGGATTACACAGAAGAATCGCTTGAATTCAGGAGGTGGAGGTTACTGTGAGCTGAGATCGCGCTACTGCACTCCAGCCTGGATGATGGAGTGAGACTCCATCTCAAAAAAAAAAAAACAAAACAGAGTTTAGCATGCAGCAACTGCTCAAATAATCTCTGTGACAAAACCAGAATAAAGATTCGGATCCAATAAGGTTACAATAAATCAACAGGCACTAAAAAGACTACAGTGAATACATCCAAGTGTCACTAGTGGTGGTTTCTGGCAAAGGAACATGATCTTCTTTTTCTATGCTCTTCTCTTACATACTGATTTTAAAATCTGAGTTTACATTATTTCTGTATTCATCAAACATTTTTTAAATTTTTTGAAAATACATATTTAAGCTAAAACCCTAAATTTATAAAATGAGAGGCTGGGCATGGTGGCTCACACCTGTAATCCTAGCATTTTGGGAGGCCAAGGTGGGTGGATCACCTGAAGTCAGGAGTTAGAGACCAGCCTAGCCAACATGGTGAAACCCTGTCTCTACTAAAAACACAAAAAAACATTAGCCAGGCATGGTAGCAGATGGCTATAACCCCAGCTATTTGGGAGGCTGAGGCAGGAGAATCGCTTGGACCTGGGAGGGGGCAAAGGTTGCAGTGAGCTGAAATTGCACCACTTCTCCAGCCTTAGTGAAAGAGTAAAACTCCCTCTTAAAAAAAATAAAATAAAATGAGAAAACCCAAGAAGCAAGAATGTTTCACCATGCCCAAAAATGTTGTATAATGGGAGAGGCAAAACTAGAGATGGAGCCAAAGAAGTCAGTGTCCTCCTTCCCAAGGCAGAGGCTGAGGTGTGCTCAGATGATTCAGACTCCAGGTGTAGAGAATGGCAGTGAGACACTGGAATCATGCTCTTTAGTCCAGCACTAGTTGGCCCACAAGCCACCAAGAGTGGATGACCACTGAGCCCCAGAAACCACAATCACAGGCTAGGCTGTGGATTTCAGCCTCACAAAATTCTCATATATTAATTAATGTTCACTGGCAGTCTTGTTAAAATAAAAACAGGTTGCTGAGACCCAGACATCAGAAAGTTTCACGCAGGAGGCACGGAGCGGCTGGTGCCTGACAACCTGCATGTGTGATTTGGATGTAGAGGGTGCATGGTCCACACATGGAGAAAAACTCCCCTGTACCCCAAACTGCATGACCCGTTCACTCAGCCCATCTATCTTCTCCCTGCCTTTTTGTTCTCACACGAAATCTCTTGCCACATCTTGAGCATCAACATATGTGAGTCCTAGTCTAAATTAATCTTGCACTTTCACCACCACCAAAGAAAATTTAGCCTCTCCTAAAAAAATATATATATGAATAGCAAAGATCAGTTGCCCAAACCAAAAACCTGAGCATCACTCTACACTTCTTACTCGGCTTTAGCTTCCCCATCCCTTTTATTAGCTGCAACTGTCTCTTTTCGTATCTGTCTCTCAGGAACAGTAGGCTTTTTGCAGGCAGAGACCCTGTTTTTGGCAGCCCCCAGTGCCCAGCCCAGGGCTGGTCCTGACACACGGTGCTCATCTCATAGTATTTGTGGAATGAATAAGTACATCTGTGTGCACTCAAACCAACAATATAGGTATTAAGAGTGACCATCAAATACACCCCCAGTTCTCTGCCCTAGCACTATCATAGGCTAGTGCAGTCATTGATCTAACTTGGGCAACATTTATTAAGCATCTACTACATGCAATATAAAGAACCAGGCACAGGAATGGGTAGGAAGATAAAACAGTATTTGCCACAGTGGGATGTGGCCTGAGGGTCAGGCCAAGTTGTTACTGTTTTTGGGCAGTTGTCCATTTGATTTACCAAGAAAGAAAAAAAATATTTAGTCTGGAGAATATTTAGCAAATATTTTACAAAACGTTGCAAAGGTATGAGCCTGCACTCCTTTGGGAAAAGATAGCTTTTATCAGAGTGAATACTGCTGGCTGTGTTGGCCACTGAGCACAACAATATGGTAATGGGGAGTTATTCTTACTAAGGGTTGTTAATTATTGAAGAAAACCCATCATGGAGTAAAGCATAGGTAAGATTAGGTCTTAGGGGACTGTGTGTGCTTAAATCCATTCTCTATCATTCTCTCTCTTTTTCTCTAGAAATTTGAAGATGACATCACCTATTGGCTTAACAGAGATCGAAATGGACATGAGTACTATGGTGATTACCACCAACGTCACTATGAGGAAGACTTTGCAATTGGTCCCTGGAGCCCCTACAGTTTCAGGCATGGAGCCAGCGTCAACTATGAAGACTACTAACCATGACCTGCCACACGCTGTACAAGAAACCAGTAGTGATTCTCTTCATGTATCTCCAAAGGCCTTACACTGCTTGGTTTCTAGTTTGTTCTATTTCAGCAGATCTTTTCTACCTACTTTGTGTGATCAGAAAAGAAGAGTTAAAATGACACATGTAAATGCCTTCTGATATTTCATGGGACTGCCTAACAATGTATCTCATTTAAAAATAGAAATAAAGCATTTTGTTAAAAAGAAAAGTCTCAGAATTCATTTGGGTGCAAATTAAGCTGATGACATTTCTCATTCCCTTGATGTTATGAAGTTGCATTTGAGAGGCATCTCTCTGTTATCACCCTGAGATTCTTCACTGCCACCCAGATAGACCACAGGCCTGGTGAGAGGTCTTAGTTTGTTAAAATGCAGCCTATGTGAAATGCAAGACATACAATCAGCAAGAGAGGCTAGTTGAAAATGATTTGTGGTTACAGAACATGGTTTGGAGGATTCCAGTCATTCGACAGAGAACCTTTCTGGTTCTGAGCTAGAGCTGGACCTGTTTAACATTACCATCCGGGAAATGAAGGGCAATAGAAAAAAACCCTGAAATTTGGTTGATTTCAGAGCCACAGTTATCTAAAAAATAAACAATAAAATCTTGTTCCAGGAATTCAAGCATATTTAAGGATATTCTTTGCATTGTAAACAACCTGAGTGAATGAAAGAAAAGGTGGCATTTGGGTGAGAAGAGGGAGAAGAGGAAGTGGGGGGGTGAGGGGGCGGCTAAGTGAAGGATCTGAGCCTTTGCTGATAGGAGGGGGTCTGGCCTCAGCCTATGCAGAATTGCAGGGAATAAGATGGGGGAGGAGATAAACAGCATGAGAGGGGCCACTCAGAATGGGTCTTAGACTTTTGTGTGTCACAGACTCCTTCCACAGTCTGATGAACGCTTCATGCTCTTTTCCTCAGAAAAATTACACACAATTTTGCAGATAGCCTCTGAAACACTCTCCCATTCACAAACCCTGTGTGATCAATAATCCCGAGCCCAGTAGGAAGCACTGCCTTGAGAGCAGCAGTGTTTACAGACAATCATAAACAAAGGCCATTCTTTTTTTACTTGAGGATCCAAACAAATTACAATTGTAGTAAAATATATATATAAGTTACC